TGAGCTGTCTCCTTTAAATTTCAAGGGTACAATTTCACGTCCTCCAGTAATAATAGATCCGCTTAGCTACATGATGTATTTGAGAAGCATGTACACGTAAGCCTCCATCAGATCATGAGGTGTGCCTATCGTTCTCATTTCCAATCATGCCAAACTGTGCTGAAATTATATAAAACCATTCTATCACATTTATTTCAAGGTAATGATTAAAGATACATGTGTTATTCCAATGAATATAATGTTATGAACAGAAAGTAAGTAAAAACTTAAATACTCAAAAGACATTATTGATATTAGGATTATATTAATATCAGGATAATCCGAACAATAAACAACATTTGAAAAGCTGTTTATGTATCATATATGTGGCTGATAGGATCTACATCGCCAGATATATATAATTTACTTCAGCAATACTGGCGATGTATATATCAGTGTGTCTATGACATTGACATAGGTAAACGATGAAAACGAAGAGCAGTATTTGAACTGATCACACATGAAATCCATAATCCTAAAATCCGATTTCAATTTCTAAGCCGAAATTGTTATTGATGATATCAATATCGAACGGAGTTGAAACAATGTTGATACAATGTTTTTCAAGAAAGCAAACTCATATCAACCAAATTTCAACATTAGAACAAAAGCAATGCTGGGATACTTCAATGGAGGAAGACATTATAATAAAGTATAATTATCTGTGTAAGTTGGGGTACAGGTGATTATGAAATTGTAAAAAAAAACATCCTCGGTGACGTGGAGTTAATTCTGTCAGGGGGCGGTCGGGTAGCCCAGTGGTAAAAGCGTTCGCTCGTCACGCCGAAGACCCTGGTCCTATTCCTGACAAGGGTACAACGTTTGAATCCTATTTCAGGTGTCCCCCGCCGTGACATTGCTGGAATATTGCTAAAAGCGGAGTAAAACCATACTCACTCACTCATTCTCTCAGTGAGCATAGGTTGAACCAGGCAATAAAGATCAACAGAGGTCATTGTTACAATATAAGAAACCTTTGAAAACAATAGGTTTCTAAATGAGTAACATTTCCCTACTCATTTCGCTAGACAACAATATTGTAATTTGTTATACTTTGTTATATTCTGATCAAGACCTGATTTGAAAACAAGTTGACCACAACAAAGTATGTATATTAAGTGGATTCACCTGATCACGAAGACTGACGCTTTTTTTGATTGTTACTCGGACATGTACAATCTTCAATCTTGAAATATGGTCACACAGTGTACTGCAGAAATACTGCAGGGTAATAACAAATATCATCATTTAACATCGTTTGGTAAAACGCGGCCAGGGTTCGAACCACCTATTTTCCGCTCTCTGGGCAGACTCGCTTTATTTTTCCCTGCAAGCCACACACTTAACAACAAACCAATAACAGAACGTCCCCTGCGGTACAAGGAGAGGCGGTTATGAAGCCCCGAGGCGTTATAACAAGACCAACACTGATACGTAGACAAATACAGGGTACATAATGAATATTCATGCTTGGGTGTAGTTCAGCACATAACCTTTTGTCATCTACAGGTTCAAGTGAACAACCGGTTTTATAAACCTCAGAGTGTTCATTTGTATTGATCGTTAGGTTTCTTCAGACTTGAGAAAGACCCACATGAGGTTTTACTTGCGTAGAAAACCCGGGACTTACTGTGGAAGACCCGGGGACTTGATTTTCATCGTTATAAAAAGTTACATATTTCAGATCAAGTCCCTGGGTCTTCCACAGTAAGTCCCCAGGACTTCCATACCCTATATTCTTTTTAAAAAAACCTTAATACTAGATTTTCTTCACTTTAATTGAAGTTGACATTTACAATGATGTTCTTTGCAAGCCCCATTCCTGCGGCAGCGCAGAAACGGTGTAGGTCGGCATTTTTAGTTTTCGTTTGTGTGAGAAATAAATCGTCACCTTCCTCTCTCTCCCACATCTTGCCACTAAATGAAACTCGACTGTAAGCTGTCCACATTATGACGGAAACGCTCACGGGCAATGCGTGCTTGAACGACACCTGTAGTCGTCACTCAACACAGCCCACGGATGCGTTTATAGTCTCGTTATATCGCATATAAAATCCTCGTTATTGCGTATCTCAATTAGAATTAACTTTGTTGGTTTATAAGTCAGATAAAACACTTATCCTCGGTTTCGGTTGAAAATGTAAACCCGTAAATCAAGTATCGTGTTGCATCTCAGGGAAGGAAAAAAGAACATCGTATTTATCATCACAACCTCTAATACAACATGTTTATGCATGACCTAACGGCTGATTTGGCATTAAGGTGGGTTGATTTTAGAGTTATGTTACACTATTGACTGTTCACAGTTTTATAAATTAATCAACGTCACAGGTGACACACTAACACACAAAGACTTTTGAGGGATAGTTCATCTTCAGGATTACAACATTGTTTGCAATGTTATGATGTTAATTTCTATTTGCAGATATCTGGAAGGATGACAAATATCACTTCAGAAGTGATGGAACTCTGAAGCAGCCTGGCTCGAGTCCAGTCGTAGTGAAGCAGTACCACAAGGCTTACACCGAGGACAAGACAACAACAAGGGCCTTTGTCAGAGAAGCATCGTATCTGTACAACCAGCCTCTGAAACACGTTCTAGTGCAATATATCGGGGACCACACACAAGCGCAGCCTGCTCCTCAACGCAAGAAGCGTGGTCAACAGACAGTTAATTCTTCAGGTGACAGTAAATGTAGAAAAGTAGAATCAACTGGTGCAGTCGGGGGTCACGGAGAACACTAACTCCAACCTGGACCCTGAAGATCATTCATCACCGACAGAATTGGAAGACAGCGGTAAATCAAACACTATTCTAGGTGTAACATTGTATGAAGCAAAGGTGTCAGAGACTGAAACAAAGAATGATCATGACACAAATCACAAACGCAGCACGACAGGAGATCAAGTGATGATGACATAGAATATTTGGGTACAACGTCAGGCTCCCCTGTCAAGAAACCTCGTTGGCAGCCTCAACTTGAAAATGACAACACAGTTGTAACCTGTGTCACTAACACACCCTACACCTATCTGTACACATTTCTTGAAGGCGTAGAAAGAAATCGTGATGTGATCAAGGTCGTGCAACAAGTCCTAGCATTATCTAGGTTCTGGAACAAGGACTGTACCAACAAAGGCAATCCGTGCTTGTCACTCATTGAAGAGGTCGACAAGAACTGGAATCTAGATGCAATTAAAGCAAGGAACTGGGTTAAATGTGTTGTTAATACTGACGGTCTGAGCTGGAACCAAGACCGGTCAGTTTACATAAAGCTCATCGCAGCATTACTTGTTGGAGCATGTCATACCAGAACTGAAGTACAGGACTTTGTGAAAACACTGAAGGATCCTCCTTCACACCTGAAGGATGTACAAGAGGACGTCCCCCTGTCACGTGACTGTACATACACAGTTGGCTGCTACACCATCAGAGGAGATGTTCTGTCTCGCCTGGAAACCAACGAGTGGCTGACAGATGAAGTAAGTAGTCCACCTGCAATATTTACACAATCACAAAAAACTACATGCCTAGTTAACCATCCAAGAAAATCATTTCATAGAGCATGGGAGGCTTTCGATTTCATCAAATGATGTTAGTATTAGATATAAACTGGGGGCTTGAGGGTGGTGAGTGGTTCAGTCACCTAATACTCATTGATAGTGCCTTGAGGTAGGCGAGCTAGAGCTTGAGTTTGGTTAAACGCCTCTTTCTGACAGTACTGTCATGGTGCGTTGGATTAAATTATGAAGAAAGTAATGCACATCTTTGACGTTAACCACTTTGTTGATTCCCATGGTGAATCTGCATAGCGAAATGCGGCGCCTTGGACCACTGAGACCCCATCTTAAGATTAATACAGCAACTTTTGGCGGTTTCTACTTTTTACACCAGTATTAGTTAACTATCAATTCATATAATGGTGCTAATTATCAACTCATTGCCATGCATCTCGATTCTGCAATGATGGCACTACTCACCTGCAATGGGCATTGTACACAAAATCTAGTACATCACCAGTCAAATTGTCAGTCATTGCTATCAGCCGATATATTCTCTTCATGATGAATATGTGATGTGCAGCGGATCCTACTTTGATTTGAAATTACAAGCGTTCCTTTTGAAGCAAACGCATTGGGCGATTAAACAGTATAATAAACATTCTAATAAATGAACTCTTTCCTGTCCAGATCATGGACACATACCTGCACCTCCTGGAGGGAGAGTGGTGTTCCCGTGTCAGCTTCCACTGTCTGGTGCTGCCTACAGAGACAATCCTACTGTGGGAGGCAGGACAGTACACAGACAGAATAAGGGGGAAAGATGTGAGTGACGTGAGATTTTTATATTTCTTATAATTCTGTCATTCCGAGTGTACCATTGCATGTCCACCCTACCATGAACATGGGCAAGACTCGAAAGATATTTTGCAGTAATTGTATATTTTTTGTGATAACATATGATTCGTCTATGCCATGATTGCGTATTCAGTATGCTAGAAGTTGTCACTTGCAATTGTGCGCACGAAGCGACCATATGCTGCAATGGGTTTCAATTGAGTCAAAGCCAGTAACCCCATTGATCATAATGCTATTCGTTTTCAATATGCAGTTACAAAAGCAGATATTGCACATGAACATATTCGTCTTGCTACATATTATTTTACGAATTGAAAATCTGGTTGTCAGAGAGAGGTCTTTAGAAGTTCTAAGTTCCAAGTTCATGATACCAATTCACTAATATCTCTGTTACTGCATCATATCTATCTTATGTGAAGCACGTGTTTCTTGATATATTGATCGTACACCGGAAAGGCATTTGTTGTGAACTTTCAGGAAAATTTGACAAACTACACGTGGATCTTAATGCCAGTGAACATGCCACGTAATCAACATTGGGTGCTACTGGTGGCTAATGTCAAGGATGGAACAGTGGGCGTGGTTAATTCTTAACCCTCCTTAATTGTGGAGGACAAGGTTGTACAACACTGGAGGTAGGTGGACAGAACAGTGGGCGTGGTAAATTCTAAACACGCCTTATATGTAGAACACCCATTTGTACAACACTAGAGGTAGATACAAAAAAAAGAGGACGTGTGGCTGCACATTATAAATGTTAAAACCAAGCTATCCAATTTGAAATGTTGAAATGTTGATTTCTCAAAAACAAACATGAATGTAAATAAGATCCATCGAAAAATGTTCGATACACCCACATTTGTAGCTTTTACTTTTGGGTAGAAGATATAGAACAACTTGTTCACAGGGTTACCCAGTTCTCCAAATGGGTACACTGTGTGAATGATTTAAACGCCATAAAAAAAGTTATGTCACTCATTCATTTAAACCATAACATCTGTATTTGCTAACATAAAACCTAATTATGGACAAAGCAGGAGAGAACATCAGAAATGCCAGGACCGGATATTTTAGGCACTGCTGTATTTACCTTCTGTTCTACCTTTACTTTAACACCAGTCCACATGAGTTGAAGACTTTATTGCCATCGAGTAATATACATGTATTCCTCAGGCTCTTTGTAAATCACTTGCAATCTACGTCTAAGGAAGGGAGCAAGTCATGGATGAAGAAACAATACCCAGTGATAGAACATTCTGATGGTCACAGCTGTGGGATATTCGTTCTGATGGTAGGTTGGTTTGAAGCTATGTTTTTGATATGAAAGGCAACATGTGTCTCAATAACCACGTATGAAAGATACCTTTTCATTTCTAACTTTCATATTCTCAGGCTGCTGATGCAATTTTGTCGGAGAAGTCTCCAGGCATCATGAGGAACTGTCACGTTGAGAAAAACAGGCTGTATGTGCTTCAGAGGATACTACAGTATGCCAAGGACAAGGGAGATATGCAAGGTGGAGGAAATCACATGATGGCAGTTGATGGACAGGGTAATGTCACAAACGAAATTCAAACTGTAACGCTGGAGACAAGAGATGTACTGGAAAATAGCTGTACAATGACAACAGAACAAGGATGTCCAACTATTCATGAAGAGGATGGACATGAAACACATGAAGGACCCGACTGTGCTATGGCCAGTGATGAAAGTATGCATTCTGGAGATCATTACTATGTTACGTAATTGTAAGTCGTTACGCAAGGTATTATATTTTAGATCTACATGTGCAATGTTGTACACTGCTTTCTGACAAACGCTATTTGTTTTCACAGATACAGAGGACTATCCATGTTTGGATCAGCACCTGTTGCATAAGCAGGAGATGGCGTGCTTGTTAGTGGTTGCTTTGGCGGAGAATAACCTGGAGGAGAGGAGGCTATGGGCAGGGTCTGACACAGTGACTCGCGTGGAAAGAGAAACCTACAAAAAATATATTGTTTGGGCAGTTAAGGCTTTTGACATCAATGAAGAAGAATACACTGAAAATATGATGAAACATATTTTATCCCAATTGGCGGGATGCTGTCTCCATCATGAAGCAGGCTCATATAGAATAAGAAATCATAAAGTAGCAATAAAGCTAAGAGAAATACTGCCACGTGATGTAAGGCAGTTGGTTGAAAGGATGGATCTCGAGTTCATATATCGTTATGTGACATTTAGAGATGATCCAACTGAAGAGGAACAACTAAATGTGTCTTTCAACCTCGAATTGAAACATGATGATCTGCATATTGTAGCGAAGAGGTTTGCTACAGCTTTACACGGCAGAAAGTTTGCCTTTGTGTGCATGCATTCCCTATTCCAGGTAGAGACATTTGTTGATATGGTTTGGGAGAAATTGTTGCATAATATGAACAAGGACAGTTCTGTACTGTTGAAAGTATTGTCAAATAATGACATTGTACATGGATATTCCTTTCTGTTTTGGGCGAGCATCACAGACAACTCACATTTGTTGAGGAGAGCATTGTTCAGTGTTCATTTGAATGCAGAGAACAGAAAGGAAGCTTTGTTTGGAAGTTGCTTTGGGAATAGTTTAGCCAACTTCGATTACTTGTTTTCCAATAAAAACTGGAAGTTGGATAAGTTGTGGATGACACTACCCAAACTCCCAAGACCTCTCATCATTAAACTGCAGTTGGCAGTTGCAGATGATCTGAGAGTAAAGTTTGGTAAATGTTCACTTTTGGACATTGCCTGCATGGGTGGGTTGTCTACAGTGGCTTCCAGATTGTCACATTTGATGAAGACGAGCAAGAAGAAAAACAAGTCAAGAAAGAATACATATGTACATTTTGCATCCTTGTGCCTAAAGGGCAAAGATACCATGGATACAATTACAAAAATTGGAAAACTGAATGTCAATATAAAAGGTCCTGAAGGATCAACACCTTTACATTACGCATGTGCAGTTGGAAATGTTAGCATTGTAAGCTATCTGTTACAGGAAGTAGCGGACATTGGTGAGCAAAACAAGAAGGGTGAAACTGGGCTTCATTTGGCATGTATTATATGGAAATGTTATTACAGAACAAGGGAATAATTCATTTGAAAGATAATGCTGGCCGCACACCTCTACATCGTGCAGCCTGGCAGGGAGATCGGGTGGTTGTGGAGGTGTTATTACAGAACAAGGCAAATGTGGATGAGAAACGTCAAGATGGCAGCACACCTCTACACATTGCAGCCAACCAGGGACATCGGGTGGTTGTGGATGTGTTATTACAGAACAAGGCAAATGTGGATGAGAAAGATAAGGAAGGCAGCACACCTCTACATGATGCAGCCTACCAGGGACATCGGGAGGTTGTGGAGGTGTTATTACAGATCAAGGCAAAAGTGGATGAGAAAGATAAGGAAGGCAGCACACCTCTACATCTTGCAGCCTACCAGGGACATCGGGAGGTTGTGGAGGTGTTATTACAGAACAAGGCAAATGTGGATGAGAAACGTCAAGATGGCAGCACACCTCTACATGATGCAGCCTACCAGGGACATCGGGTGGTTGTGGATGTGTTATTACAGAACAAGGCAAATGTGGATGAGAAAGATAAGGAAGGCCGCACACCTCTACATGATGCAGCCTGTCAGGGACAGAGGGAGGTTGTGGAGGTGTTATTACAGAACAAGGCAAATGTGGATGAGAAACGTCAAGATGGCAGCACACCTCTACATGAAGCAGCCTACGAGGGACATAGAGAGGTTGTGGATGTGTTATTACAGAACAAGGCAAATGTGGATGAGAAAGATAAGGAAGGCAGCACACCTCTAAATGATGCAGCCTACCAGGGACATAGGGAGGTTGTGGATGTGTTATTACAGAGCAAGGCAAATGTTGATGAGAAAGATAAGGAAGGCCGCACACCTCTACATCGTGCAGCCTGGCAGGGACATCGGGTGGTTGTGGAGGTGTTATTACAGAACAAGGCAAATGTGGATGAGAAAGATAAGGAAGGCCGAACACCTCTACATGATGCAGCCTACGATGGACATAGAGAGGTTGTGGAGGTGTTATTACAGAACAAGGCAAATGTGGATGAGAAAGATGAGGAAGGCAGCACACCTCTAAATCATGCAGCCTACCGGGGACATAGGGAGGTTGTGGATGTGTTATTACAGAACAAGGCAAATGTTGATGAGAAAGATAAGGAAGGCCGCACACCTCTACATCGTGCAGCCTGGCAGGGACATCGGTTGGTTGTGGAGGTGTTATTACAGAACAAGGCAAATGTGGATGAGAAAGATAAGGAAGGCAGCACACCTCTACAGGATGCAGCCTACGATGGACATAGAGAGGTTGTGGAGGTGTTATTACAGAACAAGGCAAATGTGGATGAAAAAGATGAGGGAGGCAGCACACCTCTATATAATGCAGCCTGGCAGGGACATAGGGTGGTTGTGGAGGTGTTGTTACAGAACAATGCAAATGTGGATGCGAAAGATAAGGAAGGCAGCACACCTCTACATAATGCAGCCTGGCAGGGACATAGGGTGGTTGTGGAGGTGTTATTACAGAACAAGGCAAATGTGAATGAGAAAAGTAATGATGGCTGCACACCTCTACATGATGCAGCCCGCGAGGGACATCGGGAGGTTGTGGAGGTGTTATTACAGAGCAATGCAAATGTGGATGAGAACGATGAGGAAGGCAGCACACCTCTAAATCGTGCAGCCTACCAGGGATATAGGGAGGTTGTGGAGGTGTTATTACAGAACAAGGGAAATGTGGATGGCAAACGTGATGATGGCCGCACAGCTCTACATGATGCAGCCTACCAGGGACACAGGGAGGTTGTGGAGGTGTTATTACAGAACAAGGCAAATGTGCATGAGACAGACGATAAAGAAGAAACTGCTTTACAAAAAGCAGAGGCACAACATCACGATGATATTGCATGGCTTATAACTGAGGCAACAAATATAGATGACCTGACAATCAACCATGGTACAATTACAGATAGGTAAGAGCAATGTGGAAATGATGCTTGAGTTGACAGCCCAAACACATATATTGTATAAGCTGTTTTGCAGAACAGTTTTGAAACTTCACGAAACCATATGAGACCCCGAAGAGGACAGTACCATCAGATATATATAAAAAATATCTATTTCAGCTAAAAAAGAATATGGACAGAGCATTTCTACAAGGCCCCCAAAACAACATACTAAAAGTCCCAAATCAATCAATCAAATATGTCATGAGAGACCAACAGTGTATGGATATTTCATGTATGTCCATGTCTTGGATTTTTGGGCCATTCAGTTAGTGTGACAAGTTTTATGCATAAAAGTCCCAGCACACTGTTTCAGAGATAAAAGCTTCAACAGTCTGAACTCATATTTAGGAAACGTGTCCGCCATCTTGAAATTGCCAGCCATCTTGATGTTTTGTAGATTTGTCAATAGTCGAAAACGATCAACAGCTGTGAATATCTTTAAGAAACATAATATGGCTATTTTGCAACACAACACATGCTGTTTGTCATCAAAACATTGAACCTCATCTGAAATATGGTAAATACCATTGACAGTTGGTTGCCTTATTTGATTATGTAAATTAGACATATTTCCCAAACTAAGATTGCTTGGGACTTTAAGTATGTTTTGGGGACCTTGTAGAAATGCATTGTGGTGAAATGAAATCTATTGCTATATGTTCCAAGTGAAACCTTATTTTCCATGGCCTACATATGTCAATTGGGACTTTGTAAAAACGCTGAAATTATGTTAACCAATATTTGAACTAAATTAGGCTTCACTGTGTATAATATTGAATGATTCGTTGGTTTACGTTCATGAGTATGTGGGGCTTCCATTTAGTTTGGAGTCTTTTTCATTAGATACGAATTTTGAATGCGCTGGAGGCTTTTACATCTTGATTTTGTATTATATGTCACAATAGCATCACTATTGTGATTAAGTCCTATTTTCTCTGAAATGTTGCGTCAAGTGCATGTGATATTGTTTCAGGGTGACAACCGATGGCCAGTTTCTTATGAAATCATCGTCAATTCCACACGGACTACAACAATGGCGGTTGGCTTACATCCACACCACTAACATCAACGTGCCCCGTGAACCACACATCAGTAGAATTGCCAGGGGTTTATGTTCCGAGTCAACTGGGACAAGCAGTTTCCACAGACAGACAAAGTGTTATGGAAGAGAGATACGTCGCCTTGCAGTCATCCCAACCATATCATATGGACGGAAATCTTAACAACCTCCATACAGATCCTGCACGCATGGAGATACGTTCACCCAATCAAAGAACAGAAACCATATATGAAATCTCAAGTCATGTTCCCACCTATGTCCATGCTCAAGTAGTTGGTGACACAGTGCCTAGTTCAGATACAACTTGTAATTCTGAGAATACCATCATTCACTACACTTAGTCTGGGGAAAAGATAGAGCTGCAGCAGCTCTAAAAGTGGTCTTGAAAGGAGTTATCATTGTTATTATGGTGTCCAGTGTTACAGTATACATATACAGTTTTACAACCTCCATTAGGGGTCAGTCGTCCGAATTTGGTTTGCAGAAACTAACGAGTTATTTGTGAAACCCAAGAGCACGCGTATGGTGCTTACAAACCTAGAAACACAATCTGTGAGAACCTGGACAATCATAGGTATCTGTTGTGCCCAAGGGACGCAACTCTGCACAGCGAATCGCGGCGCCTTAGACGACTGGGCCACCCGTACCCCCGTGGGAGTGATTTGTGTCGATGAAGTTTTGACGTTTCTGTATGCATCTCGATTCCATAAAAAAAACATTGTACGTTACAAATTCTAGGAACATGGCTAACTTTAATGTTGAGAAGATTACAAAACAGTTTCTTACAAATGTTTATAACTGGACATATGCAGATTTCAGTGTGTTCCGAACTTTATTAAAGCAAAGTATTTTGTTGAAATTAGTGGGAGTGAGTACAGCTTGACGTACACAATGCAGCTACATGTCACTGTGTAAAATATGTACTTGCAGGAACACGTGGGTGTCTTTCTATCATAGTCGGTATTGTCACTTTGATTTGTTTCTGCACCATTTCCAGTGTCAGAGTAGTGAAGTCTCACTCCCAATACGAAGCCATGTAACCTGTTGTACATGCAATATAGACTTTAAAGTATGTTCACGGTGACCTCATATTCAGGAATATAATGACTGTTTTATTTCAAAGCAATTTATCCTATTAATTTCCATGATGTCTTGGCAAACATGAAAATGCTAAGATCAAATAGAATACTTTGAGCTGTGTCCCTTAAACAAATACAGACTTTATAGTCATGGGGAAAACCAAAACCAGTATTACATTCTTCCATGATATCTGACATATTCGTATGTGACATATTATGTGATAGATCACTGAACGAATCCCCGTAAGATATCGGTTTTTTTACAAACATTGTATCTGAAAACGTATCTAAGGAACGAAAGATGTTGGAAGCACTATTCTAATAACACTATTGTACTAACATTCATGGTGTAATTTATATACTTTTATCATCAGATAACTCTTGTTAGTGCTGCATTAGTTAAGTGGCCTGTTATGTATTGCCCATAGTTGACCCATTGTATAACCCCTTTGTGACTGTAGACCTACAATTATGTTTTTCAATAGAAGTTGTTTTTTATTCATTTATATTTTGTGCTGATTTACTGATTTGGCAATATAGTTTGAACCGTTTTCTAAGTTAACCTTCGCGTTTTAATTCGGAAATCCCCTCGTAACACTGTGCCATACAATTTAAACATACAGAGGCGATTAATTTTAATTTCTAAAATGTCACCAGTTTCATTCATGTGACAAATATATGAAAATCCTTATCCAATTATGCAGACGTACATATACAGTCGAACCCCGATGTCTTGAACTCGGATGTGCCGATTCCACGAGTCCAGGCGAAATCACAGTCCAACATCTTACCATATTTATAGTATTGTTACCTGAATGCTGGACATGGGTGTTTTGAGTTCAATTTACAGTCCCCAAAGTTAAAAGGTAAAACTTATCAAGATCCAGGTCGAATTCAAATAGTTCGGATAAGTCGAACTATTTCTTTGGTCCCCAGGAGTTCGAGGCAATTGGGTCCGATTGTTCCTTTATGAGTATATATCTGAATATGTATACAGGTAGACAGCCTGCTAGAATTGTCATCATACACCATTGCATTTGTAAATACCTTGCTCTGAAATAAAGTGGGCTAGACCGCCTCCATTGTCGTATGGGTAGAGTATCAGACAGACTTATTTCGTATGTGTGGCCATGAGGCCAATAGCACAATGACATTTTGTTGTAAAACAATTCCTCGTGAAGCAACACTTGTATACTGATTAGATTGTAGCTAAATATGGTGTACACAGTTTTATTTATATTCAATGTATTATCCTTCTTTCAAATATCTTATAAACACACACAAGTCTGAGAAGAATATGGCTATTTTTGCTGTTCATTAACTGTACAGATTTTCTTTGTGATGGATTCGTGTAATAATAGTCAGGCAGGTATTTGATTCTTATATCCTCATATACTGGACATATCAATAAAACATGGTATTCATTTTCTTGGTTATATTTGCAGAAAGGACACATCGATGTTAAAGCATCATTATCTTTGGAATGTCTGTGTAATTGTATAGTGAGGGTATGTATACCACGCCTGAACTTCCTTAAGCATCTGCGTAAAGGGAGAGAGTATCTGCCCAGTAACGTTTAATTGTGGTGCTCTTGTTACCCCGCCTGGCGCTCAGCATTAAGGGGATAAGACTGGTCAATTTGAGGTCAGTATACTGTGTCAGAGTGGGGTGTTCATGTTAAAACTTCGCCATGGTGTATCAGTGGCTTGTTCTGTAAAAACGACATGAGAAGACACACATACATGTACACACACGCGTGCATGCACGTCACTTCATATAAGTGCAATTTTCTTGAACGCAACGTTAAACCTCAAACCTCATTTTGCCTTGCCTCACCTCTACAGAGAATGAAACAATTAAGGGGAAAAAATAAATAAAATACCTGCTTATTTATGCTCGGCAAACGTATACTGAATATTGTTTGTGAAGTCAGGTCTGAAGATTTTCGGGGCACGAGTGGCCCAGTCGTCTAAGGCGTCGCCTTTTGCTGTGCAGAGTTGCGTCCCTTGGGCACGCCAGAAACCTGTGATTGTGGGTTCGAATCCCGGTGCGCCTAGATTATGTTTCTAGGTTTGTCAGCACCATACCCGTGCTGTTGGGTTTCACCGAAGTGGTAAACGTCTGAGACCTGCATCACTTCGGGCTTTCCTCTCACATTAAGCTGACACGCCGTGATATAACTGGAATACTGTTAAAAGCAGTGTTGAACCCAACTCACTCACTCACACACTCTGGAGATTTAATTAGAAAGGAAATTAGATTCAGCCCCACTCACACCCGTCATTGACGAAACATGGTGATTGTCCCTTGCCGATCTCAAATTAT